TGTACCGCGGCACGACACTGTTGTACCAGGCACACGGTACAGTGCCCACACCTGTACCGTGCCACGACACTGTTGTACCAGGCACACGGTACAGTGCCCACACCTGTACCGCGCCACGACACTGTTGTACCAGGCACACGGTACAGTGCCCACACCTGTACTGCGTCACGACACTTGTACCAGGCACACGGTACAGTGCCCACACCTGTACTGCGCCACGACACTGTTGTACCAGACACACGGTACAGTGCCCACACCTGTACTGCGACACGACACTGTTGTACCAGGCACACGGTACAGTGCCCACACCTGTACCGCGCCATGACACTTGTACCAGGCACACGGTACAGTGCCCACACCTGTACCGCGGCACGACACTGTTGTACCAGGCACACGGTACAGTGCCCACACCTGTACCTCGGCACAACACTGTTGTACCAGGCACCCGGTACAGTGCCCACACCTGTACCGCGGCACGACACTGTTGTACCAGGCACACGGTACAGTGCCCACACCTGTACCTCGGCACAACACTGTTGTACCAGGCACCCGGTACAGTGCCCACACCTGTACTGCGACACGACACTGTTGTACCAGACACACGGTACAGTGCCCACACCTGTACTGCGCCACGACACTGTTGTACCAGACACACGGTACAGTGCCCACACCTGTACTGCGACACGACACTGTTGTACCAGACACACGGTACAGTGCCCACACCTGTACCTCGGCACAACACTGTTGTACCAGGCACACGGTACAGTGCCCACACCTGTACCTCGGCACAACACTGTTGTACCAGGCACCCGGTACAGTGCCCACACCTGTACTGCGACACGACACTGTTGTACCAGGCACACGGTACAGTGCCCACACCTGTACCTCGGCACAACACTGTTGTACCAGGCACACGGTACAGTGCCCACACCTGTACCGCGGCACGACACTGTTGTACCAGGCACACGGTACAGTGCCCACACCTGTACCTCGGCACAACACTGTTGTACCAGGCACCCGGTATAAGGTTTTACTAATCCTTACTTCCGGGTCCATCCGCAGACAGCTTTACTAATATCCATTTTATTGACCCCGAGGTTCACTGTAATTCTCGCTTCCAAAACCTAACACTTTGCATTTGTTAACACTGAATGGGCATAAACTTCAAGACGGGCTCCCCAGCAGACACCTTCCCAGCAGACAGCTCCGCAGCAGACAGCTCCGCAGCAGACAGCTCCGCAGCAGACAGCTCCGCAGCAGACAGCTCCGCAGCAGACACCTCCCCAGCAGACAGCTCCCCAGCAGACACCTCCCCAGCAGACACCTCCCCAGCAGACACCTCCCCAGCAGACAGCTCCCCAGCAGACACCTCCCCAGCAGACACCTCGCCAGCAGACACCTCGCCAGCAGACAGCTGCCCACCGGACTCCTCACCGTTTATATTAACAAGCGTACATTAACAAAAGGTAAACACAAGGTGATGTTTGGCCTCAGGTGACACGCACTTCGACCTTCCTCTTGATCCTCTGGTGCTGACCACCGCTGAAAGCCTTCTTAGTGAAGATAAACATTATTAGTTTATTTCCTGACGCCTGCTTCGCATAAACTGATGCACAATGACGTGAAATTTGCGAGCCACAAACACAGTCTGGCGGATCCATGCTGACATTGAGTGGGTTTTCTTCAAGGTAATTACAATTAGAAACTTAAACAGATCATTAAATGATATTGAGCTGAATTCGCCACGATTAAAGTATCTGTTTTTATCATTCATCTTAGGATTGGCCAGAGACCCGGCAGCTGTTTAGGTAAACAGTTCCTAAAATGGTGGCGGGTCTCCGGCCAAATATCCTCCTAATATCAACTATAAAAAAAGATCCTTCAAGCAAGAAGAGCTGAGTCAGTCAGTTCCAAATCACCTCATAAAACATACGCAAGAGAAAGTGTTCATGTCTAACAACTTTACTCTCAATTTACTTATATATATATATATATATATATATATATATATATATATATATATATATATATATATATATATATATATATATATATATATATATATATATATATATATTATATATATATATATATATATATATATATATATATATATATATATATATATATATATATATATTCCTATTTTTCTGATGGGACCATCAGAAAAATGGGAACATCAAATGATCTGATGTTCCCATCACTGAAAAATGAGAAGAACAGTTGAAAAAACGAAATGAAAAACAATGAAAAAATAAAAAATAAACTATACTCATGAAATGTAAATTCCAACGCAATGTCACACAAAATAATTAAATCAAAATGAAGATAAATCGAAATCTATGAAAATTCCATTTATCAATGCAATCGGAAACATTGAATTGGAATCGTAACATATTTAGTATAGTGTGTGTTGCTTTTACGTGCAACAGATGGCGCTGTTTTTCCCTGTCACAGGTGTGGCATCTATATAATAGGTATATAAAAACACGCGCATATTCGAATGGAACGTTGTGTCAAAATTTCAAAGCAATCAGTGAAGAACTTTCGGAGATTACAGCGTGTGTTACTTTTATGTGCAACAGATGGCGTTGTTTTTACAAAAAAACATGTTTTTACCTGTCACAGAGGTGACATCTATATGGTAGGTATATAAAAACACGCTCGTATGCGAATGGAACGTTGTGTCAAAATTTCAAAGCAATCGGTGAAGAACTTTCGGAAATTAGCGATTTTGAACAAACGAACATTTACATTTATATATATATACACGAAGAAGCTGGTGAGAATGAATGAGAAAATAATATTGCAGAAACAATCACCCTATAGTTCTCAGGCCTTGAGTGTTTGGGAACTCCAGAAGGATGAGGACGCGCCTGAAGGAGGCTAACTCTGTGAAGGTGTCTGGAGGCTGGGTGGTCAGAGGCTCTGGGCTCTACAGCGGACACTCTGGGCTCTACAGCACTCACAAGGTACACTTTCCTTGTCAGCACCGGAGGTGTTAGAGCGACCCTAGAGCCCTGAAGTGGTCACGACGGCCACTTCATCAAGACTCTTCAGAATGGAACAATTATTACTGAGAATGTCATTTGCAATGATCAAGTATATGTCAATTTATGTTTTAAAATAAGGTTACAAGCACTCGCGCTTGTTGGTTGATGTGGTGGTTGGTTGTTGGTGGTGGTTGCTGGGAGTGGTTGTGGCTTTCCCATTTTCCCAGATAACCAGGAACTATAACATGAGAGTTCCAGAGACATAAGAATTGTAAGAGGACAAAAGAAGTAACTTGGAAGTGCATTTGTGTGATATATGAAGGCCACTTCTAGTTATCGTGGATGGACGGCGACCTTGTATGTACAGAGAATCGTTAAGTCCAATATAATAATTAATGGACCTTAAGAACCAAAAATATATGGTGGCAGCAGTGGGATTGTCAAATCCCCGTCGAGCAGTTAGTCTTGGATACAGTGATCTTTCACTGTATCCTAATATCCTGACGTGTGTGCCTAATAAGGTTCCCCAACGTCAAGAAACTGTCGTACTAAGTGCCCTCTCCTAACTTACTAGAGAACCCAAAACAGAAAATGGGAATATCAATTTCGCAAGTCGCTATCATTTTCTAGTACGACGATTTTTGGCCTTAGGAAGAGTATATGTCAAAATGCGACTTTAGGATGTCAGGTTGGCTTACAACTGTTCATCCGATGCCGTTATCTTGAGGTTATCTTGAGATGATTTCGGGGCTTTTTAGTGTCCCCGCGGCCCGGTCCTCGACCAGGCCTCCACCCCCAGGAAGCAGCCCGTGACAGCTGACTAACACCCAGGTACCTATTTTACTGCTAGGTAACAGGGGCATAGGGTGAAAGAAACTCTGCCCATTGTTTCTCGCCGGCGCCTGGGATCGAACCCAGGACCACAGGCTCACAAGTCCCGCGTGCTGTCCGCTCGGCCGACCGGCTCCGTGTTTTGATTGAATACCTTTACCTTCATAAATACTTTAAAACAACATAGGAACAAGACTGCCCATGTGAACACACTACGCCTGAGCTTTCTATGTAGACCAACAATTAAGTTGAAAGAGGAAAATAAACCCCTTAAAAAACGTTAAATTTGTACAAGAAGAAATTAGTTTTACACTAAAATAATGAAAGATTGAAAGATAAAGAGAAAGTTTTTTTTCTGCTAGAGAAAAACTCGTCTTAATTAGCAGAACAATTTTGGGAAATATATTTCCTTTTCTTTACTTAATATATAATCCTTTGGTGTATGATTTGTTAGTGAAGAATATTTATACAATATGTCTCCACAGTACTGATATGTTTGTGCAGTCTGAACAATTCCATCTAATCCAAAATGAACAAATATTATGGATTTGTTCATTTGATATTGTTATTGTGATTTCTGTGTATATTTGTGGTGTATGATCACAATGTTTTGTTCACTATAATACAGGTACCATACAGGACAGTGGCGAGGAGAAGGCACAGAAATACACAATACATGAAGTGACTAATTATTAATGAATGACTAATAATACATGGTTTTTTTTTTTTTTTTTTTTTTTTTTATTATTTTCTACCACAGACGTGGCCACACATAATACATGAAGTGACATATGAGGTGATAAAGATGATTAAACCAGTATGATATGTCATATTTCTTCATTAATAATTTAAGGTATCTCCATTATGCATGTTAATGGTAACGACGAGGCTTCGCTTAATATAGAATATATTTCTTTAAGATTATTTCATAATATATCTGTATTTTTATTTTATACTATTTCAAAAAATATATATTTGAAATGTTTATATATTTCTATGTATAATAGACACTATTTCTTTGAGATTATTTTTATAATATTTCTGTATTTGTATTTTATGCTAATTTAAAAAAATATATAACTTGAAATGTTTGTATTAATACTTCTTTTTCTAGTAAATCTATTATTTTATCATTTTAGTTTTGTTTGAAGATTTATGACCAGAATATTTCATCCT